AAAGTGCTGGGGTTACAGGTGTGAGCCACTGTGCCTGGCCAGATAAAACAATTTTTATGCTGAACTCAGATTTGTGTAATAGGAAGATATGAGGGAAAGGACGGTCGTGTATGAAGAATGTTCTTCATTTCATTGTATTATGTCACTTAGTCCTCTAAATAATCCAAAGAGGCAGGTGCTTCCATCTCTACATTAGAGTTAAGGAATAAATTTCAGAAAGATTAAATAAAGAGATGATCTGGGGATAAAATTACATGACTCCAAATCCCATGCTCTTAATCACTAAATTATGGTTTATATAAGTTTATACAAAGATAATTAGACTCATTAGAATACCCAACTAATATTGATATTGAATATTACAATGAAACATCATTTACTTATTAATTTATTTATTTTACAAATGGGGGCCTTGCTCTGCTATCCAGGCTAGAGTGCAGGGGTGTGATCCTAGCTCATTACAACTTCAAACTCCTGGGCTCAAGTGATCCTCCCGCCTCAGCCTCCCAAGTAGCTGGGACTAGAGGTGCATGCCACCATGTCTGGCTAATTTTTAAATTTTTTGTAGACATTGGAATCTGGCTATGTTGCCCAGGCTAGCATTTATTCTTTCATAAAACATTAAGCAATAATTATGTACAAAGGACTGTGTTGAGAATCATATGACAGAACCATTCTAAAAGCAGTGGTGAGGCTGGGAACCATGGCTCTCAGCACTTTGGGAGATCAAGGCAGGAAGATTGCTTGAGTCCAGGAGTTCGAGACCAGCCTGGGCAACCTGGTTAGACCCCCATCTCTACAACGAATTTTTAAAAAATTAGCCAAGTGTGGTGGCATGCACCTGTGGTCCCAGCTACTTGGGAGGCTGAGGTAGGAGGATTGCTTGAGCCTGGCAGGTCAACGCTGCAGTGAGCGTGATTGTGCCACTGTACTCCAGCCTGGCAACAGAGCAAGAATCTGTCTTTAAAAAAAAAAAATATATATATATATATATATATATATATATATATATATGGCAGTGGCAGAGTTCTTTATAGAAATGGAAGTTGTCGTTTTCTGAAGTTCAAAAATTTATCTATTTAATTAAGTTTTACTGTAGCTTAACCAACTTTTGGAGATAAGATGTCACACATATTTACTATCTGCTATTTAACCCCTGGTCCCATACTAATTTCTTTCCAAAAAGTTATGCTATAAAGGTCTAGCTGGCCTATTTTAATATGAAGTATCATCTATTCATCCTCCTTTTCATCATTTGTATAAATTTAGAACAGTGCTGTTTTACCTCCCTTGAACTATGGGCTTTATGGATGATGTAATAAAGGTAACTTCCTCCTCCCTTCAATTCCCCCAATACCCATCCCCACATTCCAAGAAAATTCAAGGGACTAGGAGACATTCTTGGACTCCTTATGGACTGACAGATTCCAGGCTAAAAGCTCACATTTACACTCTAAGTACTTACTAATTGAAAATGAGTATCTTCGGCCGGGCACGGTGGCTCAAGCCTGTAATCCCAGCACTGTGGGAGGCCGAGGCGGGTGGATCACGAAGTCAAGAGATCGAGACCATCCTGGTCAACATGGTGAAACCCCGTCTCTACTAAAAATACAAAAAATTAGCTGGGCATGGTGGCGCATGCCTGTAATCCCAG